CCCAGCCCTTGTCCCTCTGTCAGCAGCTTTTCCTGAGCAGAGCTGGGGAGGGCTGTAACCTGGCAGAATCCAAAAAGGGGAGACTTGGGAACACCCCGGTTTGGAATAAGAGAGCCATACTGGACATTGGGAGCCTGAAGTAAAGTTTAAAATAGGTGAATTCCTGAAGATATTTTTCCTTGGGTGCTCAGGAAAGGAAGAGTCTGCCACTGTGGACGGTGGCTTGGGGCTGTCTATGGGCCAGTGGAGCTGACTGCTTCTCTGTTGCACAGCGGGGAGAGAGCCGGGCTGCAGAGACAGAAACGGGAGACTTCCCTTTCAGTGCCTTTGAGCAAGTGCCACTGCCTGGCAGCTGGGTGTGTAGCTTGACCGCCGGTTCTCCCCCACTGGTAGGGCCTTTAGGGGGTCCCCCTGCTTAGCACACAGCCAGATGTTGAAAGGAGGGGGAACTTAGGTAACATTCCCAGCTTGGGGGACTTGCAGTGAAACAGCTTTACTCAAATTCCACAAGTAGAAGAGATTCATTTGTAGTAAATTTTCTGGAATTGGCAAACTGTTCTTTAAAATTAATAAGCATTGGGCCTGGTGGCGTGGCCTTGCGGCTAAAGTCCTCACCTTGAACGCGCCGGGATCCCATATGGGCAACAGTTCTAATCCCAGCAGCTCCACTTCCCATCCAGCTTCCTGCTTGTGCCCTGGGAAAGCAGTGGAGGTTAGCCCAAAGTCTTGGGACCCTGCACCCGTGTGGGAGACCTGGAGGAAGCTCCTGACTCCTGGCTTTGGATTGGCTGAGCTCTGGCCATTGCAGCTGTGTGGAGAATGAATCAGCAAATGGAAGATCTTTCTCTCTGTATTTACTCTCTGTAAATTTGCCTTTGCAATATAAATAAATAAATGTGTTTTAGAAATATGAATTTAATAGATAAAAATGAAAAGCCTGTCTAAAAACTTACTCAGGGGCCAACATTTTGGCTCAGTGTTGAAGATGTCAGGGAAGTCTGCTCCTGCATCAGCATGCCTGGATGCTAGGCCAGGCTCCAGCTTCCTGCAGACATGCGCCCTGTGAGGCCAAGGGGAACCAAGTTCAAGGACTTGGCTTCTTGCTATGCAAATGAGAGCCCCAGTTGAGTTCCTGGCTCCTGGCTTCCACCTGGTCCAACCCTGGAACATTTGGGGGACTGAATCACTGAATGGAAAATATGTCTTTCAGATAAATATAAATAAATAAAAATGAAAACAGTAGAGAGAGGAAAGAGAGAGCAAGCAGAAAGGCAAAGACTCGAAAAACCAATCACTGCTGAGCTCAGGGCCAATTCGATCACTCATGAACCAACCCTTGTGACAGTGTGCCCTTCCCTGGACTGACCAGGTCAGGGTTACCAGAGTCCATCATTGAGCCATGGAGACTGGCGTGAGCTTAATTTGCTCCACCAGTCAGAGACCACTTTGGAACAGGGGGGTGGGGTAAATGTCATTTACACAGTGGAGCGAATGGAATAGATTATTAGTGGGAAACTATCCTTACAATAACACAGAGGCCTAACTGGAAGAATTAGCATGAGGATAAGTGAGATCTTTTGTCAAATGTTTAACACAGAGCATGACACATTGGAGAAGTGGTAGTTACTATTCTTGCTTTTGTGTTTAAGAGTGTTGAAATGGAGATACCCACCCTTCTCGATTCCGTGTACCTCGGAGTGCTGTCCACAGAACCCTGGAGACGGCAGAATGCTGTCACTGTGCTGTCACCTAGGGAATGCTTCTTAAACTTGACCTGGGGTTTCTGTGCAAGGTAGATTCTGATTCAGTCAGTATGGCTGGGGCCCGTGGCTGTGTATTTCTAGCAGTTTCCCTGGTGTTGCTGACGCTGCAGAGGGCACAAACCAGACTTTGGGTGAGAAGTACTGAAATAGGGTTTTTTTTTTTTAACATTTATTTTTATTGGAAAGGCAGATCAGATTTACAGAGCAGAGAAACAGAAAAAGATCTTCCAGCTACTGGTTTACTCCCCAAATGGTCAGCACATCTGGAGCTGAGCTGAATCTGAGCCAGGAGTTCCTCTGGGTCTCCCACACAGATGCAGGGTCCCAAGGCTTTGGGCCGTCTCTGCTGCTTTCCTAGGCCACAGGCAGGGAGCTGGAAGGGAACTGGAGTGGCGGGACATGAACCAGCATACATATAAGATCCCAGTGCTTGCAAGGTGAAGATTTGTTTGATAGAGCCATTGTGCTGGGCCCTGAGCAGGGTCTTGCTTGCCCTGGGATTAAAGGGGCTCACCCACCCATGGTCTGGCCAGTAAGAAAGTGGAGCAAGAGGAAATGGAGAGCAAGTATTTGCCTTTTTAAAAAACACCTTTTTAAATTTTTCAAACATGAGTATGTGGGAGAATAACAGTCAATACCAGTATATTCTTCACCATATGATAACGGTGTGGCGATTACCTTTTATGGCTGCAGTGCCAGCGTGGCCTCTGTTCCTTTCACTCTTGTCTGTTGATAAAAGCTTAAGTTCATAGCCTGACTTTGCTGCAGAGGAAGCTAAATACTTGCATCATAAGTCTAGCATGACAGTGATTTACCCTGGAATTGCCTTACTACGAGAAGCTGTGATAGTTATGTTATTTTTTTTTTTAGAAATATAGAGGGGGGCCCGCCACAGTCGGCTAGCAGTTAAAGTCCTCGCCCTGAATGCGCCGGGATCCCATATGGGCAACAGTTCTAATCCCGGCAGCTCCACTTCCTATCCAGCTCCCTGCTTGTGGCCTGGGAAAGCAGTGGAGGACAGCCCAAAGCCTTAGGATCCTGCACCTGTGTGGGAGACCTGGAGGAAGCTGCTGGCTCCTGACTGTTTCAGTCACTTGGGGAGTGAATCATTGGGTGGAAGATCTTCCTTTCTGTCTCTCCTCTTTTCTAACTTTGCAATAAAAATAAATAAATCTTTTTTTTTTAAAGAATAAGCATTAAAAAAAAAGAAATTTAGAGGGGAGGAGATGGTATGGGACACTATAAATACTGGTGGATAATTTTGTGACCCAGTGAATCTTTTAAAAAACTTTAAAAATATATACTTATTTGAAAGGCAAAGAGAGGGGAGAGACACTGCCCTGGGGGAGAGAAAGGGAAAAGAGATACCTTCCGTCTACTGGTTCACTCCCCAAATGGCCACATGGCCAGGGTGGGCCAGGCCGAAGCAGCCAGAAGCTTCATCTGGATTGCACATGTGAGTGGCAGGAACCCAAGTGCTCCCTTCCTAGGTGCATGAACAGGAAGTTGGGTCAGAAAAGCAGCCAGGAGTTGAGTGGGCACTGCAGTATGAAATGTGAGTGCAGCACCAGCACACCTGCCCAAGGCTGAATGCTTTCTTACCTGAGAGGCCAAGACAAAGCAGGGAGTTCCCTTCTGCTGCTTCACCACTGAGATGCTGTCGGCTGCTGCATTGGCAGGAGAGCCGAGTCCAGGTCTCCTACCTAGGGAACAGGACTTCAGGGACTTGAGTCATCAGCTGTCCCTCCCAGAGGCTGCAGCAGCAGGAGAATGAAGTCAGGTGACAGTCAAGAATCCCACCATGTTCTCGCATCTGTTTTGCAAGTGTCTTATTATTATTAAAAAGTCAGATATAAAGAGAGGAGGAGAGAGAGGAAGATCTTCCTCGACTGCTTTCCCAGGCCACAGGCAGGGAGCTGGATGGGAGGCAGGGCTGCTGGGATTAGAACCAGCACCCATATGGGATCTTGGCACTTTCAAGGTGAGGAATTTAGCCACTAGGCTACTATGCTGGGCCCAGTGTAAGTGTCTTTATTGCTAGGTAAATGCCCACACCACTTACAAATCTTGCAACCAGTTCTCTTTAGATTAGTTTCCAGAAAGCCTGGAATTACAAGTGCACCAGTCCCTAAAAGTATGCAAGGCTTCGTAGTACTGTGTTTTACATACACAACACCCCCCATCTCCCTTTGCCTCATTTGGTGTGGCTTTTTCTCATCTCATCAATCTTACTATTTTTTTGCAACTATCTAATTACAAATGATTTTCATCACGACACAGGGCATTGTGGAGAGTGATGGGAACGTTCTGAAGAGCTGCAAACACGCCTTTCCGTGTTGCTTGGCTTATAGTTCCATGTTTGTGCAGCTTTGGTAAGTCCACAGAAATATAAATAAAATTACAGTGATCGGCACCCTGGCCAAGTGGTCTTCCAGATTCTCTACAAGGAACTTGAAAAACAATTACAAAAGGAGCACCACACACAGGTTGCCTTACATAGATCAGGAGTTCCACAGCCACTAGACATCAATACTACACATAGAGCAATAGTTTGGTCTTTGTTGATCCAATTACCTTGAGTATTATTCTTGGACTAATTATACCAATCACTTTTAAAACCCCTTAAGTCTCTAGGCACCTTTTCTTGTCAGATGTTAAAGAATATGCTTTGAACGTTTCTGAAAAAGCACTCACAGTTTATTTGGGATTCAGAAATGTTTTAATATGTGCTAAGATTTATTCCCTTAGATGTTAATCAAGTCCTCTTGAGGTTAAACATTTCAACCCTGGGTTCTTTTTAATTTTTTTTTTTAAAGATGTATTCATTTGTTTATATTGTAAAAGCATAGCTACAGCAAGAAGGGGAGATAGGCCTCCCATTTGCTAATTTATTCCCAAATGGCTGTAATGGCCAGAGCTGAACCAATCCAAAGCCAAGAGCCAGGAACCATGTGGGCTTTGGGCTGTCCTCGACTGCTTTCCCAGGCCACAGGCAGGGCGCTGGATGGGAAGTGGAGCAGCTGGGACACGAGCCGGTGCCCACATTGGATGTTGGTGCTTTTAAGGGGAGGATTAGCCATTGAACCATTGCACCTTGCCCTGGGTTCTTCTTAACACACCCTTTGTTGTATGGCTTGCTGTGGTCCTATGAAAGAAAAGAAAAACTGTCTACTTTAAAGCCTTTGAGCATCATACAGGTTCCTTGATACACAACTTGGCTTTGACCTTGCGCTGTAGGACCACGTGCCACTGAGACGAAGGACGGCCCTCCACCCCAGCTGCCAAAGCGGACGTGGGCTGTCGGCTGACCGCGCTCAGTGCGGTCCCTGGATGCTCCCGCTGGCCAGCCGGGGATTGTCGGCCCGGAGCCAGCTTTGTACCAGTGAGGTTCAGTCGCGTCTGCTGAGCGTCGTCGCCAGCTGGTGTCCGGGATGCGCCGGTACAGAACCAAGGTGAGAGCTGCGGAAGTATTAGATCTGGAGGCCCGAGGGGGCTAGGTCTCTGCGCGTGAAGCACCAGGAGGAGCCCTGGGGATGCCGGCCTGGGAACCGGCGCCTCCACCGACCACGCTTGGCAAGCTGGCACCGCCGCCGAGGGCCCACCCCGCCCTCGCCCGGCTTCCTTAGGACTGCCCACTCCAAAGATGGCGGCAACGGCTTCAGGAGAGTGGATCATGTGGGGATGGTGGCCAATGGGCTTCCGGGCTGCGTGCCGGCCGGGTGCGGGCGGGGGGGCGGAAGTGCCACGGACCGCCGCCTCCGGCCCGGTTGCAGCCCTTGCTGTTACATAACTGGCTGCGGGACCCGCGCGGTCCTACCTCTCGGCCCCCGCGCCCCCAGGATGTGCTGAGGCCCGCGACCCCCTCAGCTGCCGCCGGCTCCCTCCCGAGGTGAGGCGGCTCGGGCCGGCGGGGCGGGGCGGTTGGGAGGCGGGGAGTCCGGAGCGGGCCCCTGGCCGAGGAGGCCGGGCTCCCCGGGGACCGGCGCCTCCCTCGGGGAGGGTCCTGCGCGGCCCCTGCCCTCCCCACACTCGGCTCCGGTCCGGAGGTGAGGGCTGTGGCCGCCGACACCAGAGAGAGGTGAGTTTCTGTGCCGGGGCGGGGGCTGCCTGCGTGCGGACCTCAGGACGAGTAGTGGAGAAATTTTCTAAGTAAAGGGCCCTGCCCGTCGGCGCCCGTGGGGGTGCCTTTGAAGCCAACAGTGCGGCCTCGCCATGGTGTGTTACTTGTTGGACCGAGTGTAAACTGCCTCCCCGGGATCTCCTGGGTGACAGGAGCTCGGTCTGGCCTCCCCTGCTTGGCTGTCAGGATACACGCGTGCCCTGTGTGTCTAGAATCACCGGCTGACCGTGCAGATCCTCTGGCAAACCACAGTTTCTTCCTTCGAATGGGCCACTTCCCGGGGATAGAGGGACTCTGGCTCCTCGGCTGTGCCCCTGGAGGAGCTGCGCAGGAGGTGTGGGCCTGCTCTGAGCCATGGGCCGTCGGCTGTGAACATGGGCCGCTGGCTCGTTGTTCTCACACTGCCAGGTCTCTGAGCCAGAGTTCTTTTGTCACTTGATTGTCTTGGGAAAAAAAACAGGGTCAGGACCCACCTGAGTGGTCCGTGGTGAGGTCTGGAGTGGCTGTTAATCTGAGCGTGCGAACCAGAGGGGGCACTCCAGTGCAAAGCACTGAAGCAATAACACACCTGGCTAATGCTTAACCCGCTGGGTGGGAAGTTTGGTGACTCCAAAGGTCGGCTGTGGAAATAGTCCATGGAACACTTGATGTCCAAGGAAGTGGGAGAAGTTCCCTGGCCACTGGCGGGTGGGGAATGGGTGTGTGCGTGTGTATTAAAGGGGGTTGAACAACATCAGCCAGAATAAATCAGTGATGCAGAGGGGACTTGGGTGGCTGCAGTCACATCTAGCCGCCGTTCTGAGCACAGCCCAGCAGCGAAAGCAGGTGCGTGTGGCCTGCAGAAGCAGCATGCAGGTGTCGGTTAGGAATGGGGCTTGCCTGAGCTCCGCTGTTGCCCTGGTTTGCTGGAGTTTGGTCTTTCTTAGGCCTGGGTGCCGGTAGTTGAAACCTGTGACACAGTACGGACATGCAGGGTAAAATGCGTATGTATATACTCATACATGCCATTTCCTTAAAAAGTCTTTGGGTGTCCTATCTTTAGCCTCTCCCAGTTGTAACTTGAAGACTTTGTCACCATGTTTGTTTTAACCACACCCACGCACTGTGGAGAGTATCTTTAGATGTGACTCCATGTTGCTTAGCAACAGCATGCTTCTGGCCTGATGGCAGAAGATTCCTGGATATTGGGAGATTTGAGGAATGAGAGGCAGTGACTGTCTCAGTGCACCTGCTAGCATTTGGCAGCCGAGAGGCGTTTAGGTCAGGTGACGGCAGTGTCCTTGTGTTGGGCACAGGCAGCTGACCAGCTAGTCTGCTGACCCAGAGCAGGAGTGCTGCCTATGTGTAGACAGTGGCTTCCTCATTGCTGTGTTCCATCCCTGTCATGGTCTCCTTCCTTCAGGAAAGAGCTGCAAAGCCCTTTGGGGGGCTGACACTTTGGTTCCTTGTTTGTGGGGAACATGAAAGCATGGTTGTGTGGAGAGCTTTCAAGTAGATGCTGGAAGTTCTGCATGACCTCAGGCCAAATTCAAATGCTGAATTGGATTCAGTGAATAGTTGTAAGAGCTTTTGACAGCTCCAAGGTCTGTCCTCCTTCCCTGTGTGTCACTATTTTGTCTAAGTATTTTTTAATTGGATTTCATGTAGCTACTAAAATTGATGATTAACAGTTACCTAGGAACCCTTTAAAATGTTTGTGAGTTTGCTTGGCAGCTCCGTCTGTGAGCACCTACTGTTGGCTTCTTTGCAGTTTTGAGGCTGTGTATCAGTGTTACACCACACGCCATGCTGATCCCAGGGGGCAGGACCTTAGTCTGTTTTAGTGCAAAATGGGTAATAATGCTTGTAATTTGGAAAGACCCTACAAAATATACAAGTTGTAATTAATTAAAGCCAGCCATGAAATGGTTTCGATGTACAAATGGGTTTATAGTTTTACATATCACCTGTAAGTCTTAATTTTTTTCCCAAGAATGAAAACAACTCGAACTCCTAGCAAAAAATCCCATAACACTGGAGTGAACTATGCAGGCCACCTGCAAGGACCCTGATTCCTCAGGCAAGCCTGGACAGAGGTTGAAGCTTTCTAAAAAATCATCTTCTTATGAAAGTTAACCACATGATCCAGTGGTAATTCCTATCAAACTTGACCTACTTTCATGTTGAGGATTTATGTGATTCTGAAGGATTTTAAACAAACCTGGAGAAGCAGAGATTGAAAACCATGAAAGCCTCAAAGCCCAGAGCAGGGCCGGGCGGGTGACCAGTGCCCTGGTGTGCTGCGGGCACAAGGTGGAAGGGGCCTGAACTGGACCCACCAATGGCAGCACTCCATACCTGAAACCAAGTGAACACCTGCTCTGCTTAGGATTTCTGTCCAAGAACAGATAGGTTCTCAGTTGGAGGAGAGCCTCCGTAGGGTCGAGTGTCAGTGTTCGTCCAAAATGCTGGGTACATAAATACCTGCTAGCGTCCCCTCGGCCCGAAATCTAGCACTGTTGTTTGGTTTTGTTTTGTTTTTTTGTTTGTCTGTCTCAAAGAGAGTGACTGAGCATGCACTTCCATCTGGGGGTTTGCTCCTCAGAGGCCCACTGTGCCTGAGGCTGGGCTAGGGTGAAGCTGGGTCTGGGATGCCATCTAGGTCTCCTGAAGGTGTGGCAGGGACTGAGCTGCATGACTTGCCTCCCAGGGTCTGCACAGGTGGGAAGTTGGAGTCATAACCCAGAGCTAGGACTCCATCTGTGGGGTGGAGAGCTTAACCGCCAGGTTGATGCCAGGCTGATGCCCAGACGCTAGACCTGACCTGGGGTTGTAAACTGGGTGGGTGCAGCTCAGCAAGTAGCTTCCTAGCACAATCCCAGCTTGGAGAGCTGCTGCAGGGCCGCTGCCATCTGGGAGTGAACCAGCAGGTGGAAGAGCTCTCTGATATCCTCTCTCTCAGTAATCCTTTTAAAAAACAAATCTTTTAAACATAAATAAATGCAGAACTGCCCTGTTGGCCTCCCTGACCCTGGATCGGTGGCCCTGGCTCCTTCACTGTGAATCCGGAGCTTAATCCCTTGATGCACCCTCAGTCCCTCTCACGGGGAAAGGAGGCTCAGGGTGCACATTTGCACTGATGTGGGTGAAGCCTCACTTCTGATGCCCGCTTCCTGGTGTGTGCGCCCTGGGAGGGCATGGCGCTCTGCCGGCCCTGGCTGGCGGGCTTTTGAACAATGAACAGCTGGTGGAAATGCCTGCCTTCTCCGTCTCTGCCTTTCGAATAAAATGAAAGCGAATACATTTTTTAAAAAAAGATTTATTTATTTTTATTGTAAAGTCAGATATACAGGAGAGACAGAGAGGAAGATCTTCCATTCAATGATTCATTCCTCAAGTGATTACAATGGCCGGTGCTGAGCTGATCTGGAGTCAGGAGCCAAGAACTTCCTCCAGGTCTCCCACGCGGGTGCAGGATCCCATGGGCCGTCCTCCACTGCTTTCCCAGGGCACAAGCAGGGAGCTGGATGGGAAGTGGAGCTGCGGGGATTAAAATCAATGACAATATGGGATCCCAGCATGTTCAAGGCGAGGACTTTAGCTGCTAGGCCACTGCGCCAGGTCCAAATGAATACCTTAAAAAAAATTTTTTTTTTAAGAGCTTGGTCCAAAGTCTGCAGGTAAGGCAGCCACTGGGTCTGCCTTTGGGACACTGTCTTGCCACCTGTTTTCGTTCTTTATTGATCCTGATCTTGTGTGTGGGTATTATTTTGTTTGAAAAACAGAGTTAGATTTTTTCGTCCTCTGGTTCTCCCCTCAAATGGCCCCAACTATAGGGGCTGGGCCAGGCGAAGCCAGGAGCTTTCTCTGGATCTCCCATGTGGATGCAGGTGCTTCTTCCACTGCTTTCCCAGGTACGTTAGCAGGAAGCTGGATCAGAAGTGAAGCAGGGGGGCCTGGCACCGTGGCCTAGCGACTAAAGTCCTCGCCTTGAATGCAGCAGGACCCCACATAGCTGGTTTGTGGGCTCCCCTCGGGGCACAGAGAGTAGGGTGTGAAGAGGGAGGCTGCTGCTTGTCATCTCATGAGTGACCATTTTCCTGCACCAGTGGAATTCTGCAGCCCAGATGGGTACTCACCCATGGTCACAGCTCACTCGGACCAACACCCCACAGTGTGCTTCCAGCCCATGGCGGGCGAGGGGAGAGTGACAGTTTTGGAGGAGGAAGGTGTGGGCTAACCAGGGACTGGAATGTAGCTTGTGGAAGAGGGTACCTCATTTCATCTTTCCTGGGAAATGATGAGGGAGGTAGGAAGGAGCTGAAGTTCGAACAGGCTGACTTAATGTCCCTGTGGGGTCTAGGAACACGTGGAGGTCACTGCTTACCCATGGCTGTCAGCAGGTAGGAGGCATGACGTGACATGGAAGGAGACGGCACAGGGGCAGGGTGGAGGCGCCTATGGCTGTGTGACCGTGACCCGGGGAGTCTGCTCCCGAGTTACAGCCCTTGGGCAAGCAGAGTGGTTTTTATCTGTAATTAGAACAGCACTTAAGAAGGCCTGGGCATGGGCAGGCCCTACCAGGAGCAAGGATATGGGGCTGTTTCTGGCTTCCTTACTTCGGGAAGTGAGTGGAGTGCCCACATGGGTATCCTTGGGAGGGGGTGCCAGGAAGTACCCCCTTCCCACATTCCATTCCACATGTGTGGATATGGGGACATTTTGGTTTCACCCCATGTCCCTCCATGACCTGAGTTCAGGGTGGTCTAGTGGAGGGAGCCACTCGCTGG